TCCAAAGGGGTCGCGACTCACAGGTTGAGAACCACTGCTAGCACATAGAACAGAGCTTGGTGCCATCCCCCAAACCCATGGTATTTCCATTACCATCAGGTAAACAGCTAGAGCTAGAACTCTTAAAAAAACAAAGCCAAAACCACATTTGTTAAAAACAGAAAGCATGGCAGACTTTCAGATGTTCTTAGCCAGGACACTCTTGTTTTGTTAATCTTCACCCAAGGATTTTTTTCCATTGTTTTTCAGAGAGAGTGGAAGGGAGAGACAGAGAGAGAGAAACATCGATTGAGGGAGGCACTGATTGGTTGTCTCCTGCACATGCCCTGATTAGGGCTTGGGATCAAACCTGCAACCTAAACACATGCCCTTGACTGGAATCAAACTGGCTAGGGCAGCCATGATACTCTTCAAACCAAATTTCACCCCCACTTAAAGAGTGTAGCTGCTCTAATTAGACAGGACTGGGATTTGTTCTAAGCTCTCCCGCTGTGTAGCCTCCGAGGTGCTTCTGAAGCTTCCTGGAACATGCTGCAGACACCATCCGCCACTGCAACCCAATTACTGTTTGTGTGTAAAAATGGGGGACAGATGTATGTAGAACTTGAGGCAATGCTTGGAATTGTCAACAAAGAATGGGGAGATGGGATGCACAAAGACAGGAGCTGAGTGTTTCCAAACAAATCCTAGATTTGTTTATTTATTTATCCACGTCACTCCACACTCCCTGGTTCTTTCAGACATCAACTCCACCCCACCCTGCTTGCTTCCATGTCTAGATCTAATTATCTAGATCTAATTTTTGTCGTGTAATCTACCCAGCTTGAACTTGGTTGGTGACTGATGGAACATGGGCTTTTTCTGTGATGGACCTGAACCAGTCATTTCAAAGCTTCAAAATGGGCCCAGAAGTCGTTATATCATGTCTTTCCCAGAGACAGTGGTGAATCCAAACCACGAATCTATCAATTAGTCCTGTGACATAGCCCTTTTACACTCAATAGAAAACTTAGATAATTTGGTTCTAGTGAACATCTGCCCAATTTTTTTTTTTAATATATTTTATTGATTTTTTACAGAGAGGGAGGGAGAGAGATAGAGAGTCAGAAACATCGATGAGAGAGAAACATCGATCAGCTGCCTCCTGCACATCTCCTACTGGGGATGTGCCCGCAACCCAGGTACATGCCCTTGACCGGAATCGAACCTGGGACCCTTCAGTCCACAGACCGACGCTCTATCCACTGAGCCAAACCGGTTTCGGCCCATCTGCCCAATTTTTTATGTAAGTTGTGTTTTCTGTCAAATTAGTTTTAAAATATCAAGGGTCAAATTC